CTAACTTAATAGGAGAAGGGCTAGCTAACTTAGCTAGTAAAGGATCTTCCTAGTAGGGAGATTAATCCCTTAAGGTAGTAGACTTCCTAACTGCCCTGCCTTAAGCCTTCCGCCTTAATGCTACTAGGGGAACTATTATCCGCAAGTTCTCTAAGCGTAAGGTAATTAATGTAGTAATCCTCTTTAAGGAGACAGGCGAAATGCCCGTCGACCCTAAGTTAAGTAAGCTAGTAGCAGACAAGTCGCCTAGCTTAGAACTTAAGGATAGGCTGCTATATTATAAGAATAAACTAGGGACTAAGACACTATATGTCGACCCTAAGTTTAGGTGGGATTTCTTAGAGCGTTGCTATAAGGACTATAGCTACTTTAGCATCCTAGGAGTAAATAGCATCCTCCGTGTAAGAGGATAGTAGTAGTCTCTTAAGAGGGATGTCGAGGACTATGYAAGGAACTGCCCCTAGTATTAAGTTACTCGTAAAAAGCCTCGATTAGGGACGGCCGCCTAAGAACTACACTTCTACTAAAACGATCGCACCCTTAAGCTATTTAAACGATAGGCGATCGATGTAGTAGGCCCTCTTCCTATTACTCTTAATAGAAACAAGTACATTATTATAGCAATCGACTATGCTATAAGCTAGCTACTTATAAGAGCAGTCCCTAATTAAGAGACTAAGACTATTATAAGATTCGTGCAAGAAGAGATCTATACGAACTTTAGGCTACCTAGAGAAGTCTTAAGCGATAATAGCTTAAATTTCATCTCTAAGGCATTTAATATACTAATAGATACCCTCTAAGCTAACTACCGCCTTACGACTCTATACTATCCCTAGACTAATAGGAAGGTTAAAGCCTTAAACGGTGTGCTTAGACGGATCCTTACTAAGATGTGCTATAGTAAGAGCGTCTATATATAGGATCTCTACTTGCCTAAAGCACTCTATGCAAGTCGAATTCGAACTTAATCGAATTCTGGCTTAAGCCCTTTCTTCTTACTGTTCGGATAGGAACCCCGAATACTTAGAGATTATCTATACCTGCGACTTATAGAGCTTAATCCTAACGATGTTACTAAGCGCTATTAAGTGCTCCTTAATATAAGGAGCCTCGTAGCRGAAAGACTAATTGTAAAAGCAGCTCGATCTAAGGCTATTAGCTCTAAGACCTTTATAAACACTAATAGCAAGTTTAAGGAAGGAGACTTTATGCTCGTCGTGCATAAGATAAAGACTAAGCTCTAACCTAACTATGTTAGGCTATTTAAGATCCTTAAGCGTAGCTAGCTTAGGACCTACACTCTTAAAAAAGAGGATAGCTTAGTAGTTAAGCATTAAGTAAACGGCGACCGCCTAATTAAGGCGCACGCTACTACTAGCTTTAAGGAATAGAACAGAAGATTACATACTAGCAACACTATTTTACCTAAAGCTACTAGACTTAAGTTTAACGAGAGCCTTAGCGATAATGTTAAAACCGCCTTAAGCTTCTTAACCCTAGCTTCGATCCCTAAGAAGAAATAGGAGAAGTTGTCTAAGATAACACTTAATCGGTTAGGGGCCCTTAAATTCTTAATAGGGGAGGGCAAACCGCTAGATCTATAGCGTCTTAAAGATATACTACGCTTTAAGAAGCGGCTTAACGAAGCTGCTAAACAAATCCGGAAAAGCAATAGCGATGTTTTACGCGCAAGTTAAGAGAGCGTAAAGCAAGCAGAAGCTTTGCGAGCTGCTCTTAAAAAGAAACGCTATTAGGAGTTAAAAAAGAATCCTCTAAGTTAGCGGCCTGCTATTATGCAGCCTCTAAATCCTGCTATAATACCTAGGGAAGATGCCTAAGTTAACCTAGCAGTTAAAAACCTCGTTACTAGTCTCCCTAAGAGAGTAATAGAGCTAGAACCTGCGGCCTAAGAAGACCTGCTATAGGAAACCGATAGCCTAAGTGCCTCCTATAATACTAAGGGCTATCTAATCTAACCCCTAAACGCTCCCTTAAGCAGAAACTAGATCCCTAGCAATAACCTAAATAACTTAAGAGCTAAGCCTTCTTATCCTATTACTATCCTAGCTCTACCCCTAAGGTAGAACAGAAGCCCTAGCGCTACCCTAAGGAAGGAGCTAGTAGGGGAGGAATTGCCCTTAACGATCCTACGACGAAGAGGGAGACCGCCTAAGGCAACTCCTCTAGCGACTAAGACA